AGGGTGAAATGAATATGTGAGTGTGCCCTTTTCCCCTGCTCCAACTTTGCCCCCTGGCTATTCTGAGAGAAACTGGAAGTTCATGTTGTCTTGGGGGAAAATGAAAAGACATTAGAAAAGATTTTGTAGTTTTGTTACTGGAATTTCTTCAGTGAGTTTTTGGTCTCAGAAATTTGAGAATTGAGCCCACGGGCCACAGATCAGTGATAAAATGGGATTTTGTTGGACTGAAGGGCATGCAGAGGGAGTAAAGAGTGCCAGAGCTATTGGCAGAGAAGTTGTGCCTTCGGCAGTCTGGTGAGCTCTGGATGGCTTGAAAAATCTGGGGAAGAGAGTGTAAATCTCATGTTTTGCGGGGATGTATCAGTATTAGCAACAGGTCTCCAAGGCAGACAGCCTCTGGAAAGGGGGGAGAAGACCCAGGTCAGAGGTTTCCTGCATGAGTCCTTTGTCTAGGGATAAATAATTTGCCCTGAGAGATATTTTGGCCAGGAGTTGGTAGATGGAAAAATACCTTTACAAACTGAATGGGTGTCCTGGCAAATGGATGAATGCAGCCCCACACCTTGGACAAGGTTATTAGTTCTTTGCTACAGTTATTGTCTGGGGAGAGGATTAGGATGTGTGCTCCTTAGTCAGGGTGGAGCCATCCAAAAGGTTTCAGGCTGCTTTGTTCATGACCTGGCTGGGGCTCAGAGAGTTTGTACCTGGAGATGGGAGTCTGATATCTGAGCTCACCTGAGCCTGAAAAATGGGGGTTCCCTGTCTAGCTCTGAGTGGGAAAATCCTATATCAATGTTACATCTCATAAAATGTCTCTCATTTATAAAATGTAATAATTTGGTTATTTAAATTGTTGGGGAAACTGAGTCTTTGTCAAAGGAGAAGATTCTTGCTTTTTAAACCTTCTAATTATCAGTTTGGCCAAGTGAATGGGTGGCTTCATAGTGAACTATTTTGTGGGAAGTTTTTGAGAGTAAGAGAAATCAGACAGAAAGGGGAATGGCATGGTATAAAGAAAGAATCTTGGCTCGCCGCCTGTGGCTAAAGTGGTTAAGATGCCAGTCACATACATCTAAGGTGGCGGGTTCAAATCAGCCTGGGCCTACCAAACAACAATGACGGCTGCAACCAAAAAGTAGCCAGGTGTTGTGGTGGGAGCCTGTGGTCCCAGCTACTTGGGAGGCTGAGGCAGGAGACTCGCTTGAGCCCAGGAGTTGGAGGTTGCTGTGAGCTGTAATGCCAGGGCACTCTACCCAGGGGGACAGCTTGAGGCTCTGTCTCAAAAAAAAAGAAAGAATCTTGTGTGATAAATTTTGTCCTGAAACAGAATGGTTGTGTAAGAAAGTGAAAGGCAGGACAAAAATTAAAGAAGATTTAGAATGTTTGTGGATTGTCTGTGCAGGTTAAGTGAACCTCATAAAAGAGAATTTGTGAAAGAACTTACATATGATCCAGTTGACTATGTATTTCCTTTAAAATCTTTTGGTATGTAGACGTATTTGAACCACTGTTTTAGGCCTTTGATATTTGACAAACCTTCCAACATCAAAACTCTAAATTTGGGGCTTGGCACCCGTTGTGCAGTGGTTGCAGTGCCAGCCATATGCACTGAGGCTGGTGGGTTTGAACTCGATCCAGAAACTAAAAAAGCACAACTCTAAATTTAGTCTTCTTGAAATATTAAGACCACTGAAAGGCATAGAAAAACAAATTGAACTTATCTGATCTATTGAAAATATATAGGAAACATTGTCAAGTATGAAGTGATAATTAATTTTGTATGGGTTATGGTTATATATATGTTCCAATATTATAAAGCATTGATCTGTCCTAATGTATTGGTCTGTCCTAACATATATTGTTAGTAATAATTTTAATTCTTCTAAAAAAGAAAGTGTTTTTTATGTAACTGGCTGAGTCCAAAGTTTATCCTAAAAAGAAAAAGAAATATTAAGAGAGGCTGACGAATTCTCTCGAATTCAAATTCCTGATGTCTTTGGAAATTGAGTACCTTCAGGCTAAAAGCAGATTTTTAGAACTTTCATTGGAAAGTTAACATGTCTATGGGTATTGCTAACCTAACTTCAAACAGAACAGAAATTAGTTACGTGGAACTAGGCTAGTTTGTTATGGCTTTTTGTTGAAAATATTATTTGTTTTTTCTGTGTTCTGTTTTCCAGAAGTCAAGAAAATAATTCTCTGCCTTTTGAGCTATTTGTAGCTTTTCAAGCAATGTATGTACTTATGAGCAGAGTTTGAAACATGTATTTTTCTCTCTCCTTGATTTCACCAGAATTGGAAAGCCATTTGTAAGTATTCTTAATTTCTGATAATACAGTTATTTGCATAAGTTCAATAATAATCTGTTTTGTTCTATAGGACATGACAAAGGCACTGGTTATTTTACCAAGGCTTTGGCTGGAATAGTATTTTCAGAGGTGTCCAGACTGCATTAAGGAATTAAGGTTGACTTTATAAGGCCAATAAAAAGCCCTTTGGAAAACTGGCCAGATACCCATCAGTAACCTTTCCTGGTCTATGGTAAGTAATGAAGGTTGCCTGCTGACAGGTCTGGGAATTGAAATGTGCTTGGGGACCTCAAGAGAAGAGGAATTTACCCAATGCATACAGGTATCTAATGGCACAGATGAAACCTAGGATCATGAAAGACTTTTGAGAAAGTCCAGCCTGAAAATTCCTTATAAAAGGTTCCAGCAAAGCCAAAGAGTCTAGATGGCTAATAATTATTCTTACTGCGCCTTATGCAAATAATCTGTATACTGAAAATACAGTTTATTTTGGCAACTGAGTTGGTTCTGGTGTAATTTGTCTTTAGTAAAGAGAGAAATTGGAGAGAGAGAAAAATAATTCAAAGGAAAAAGAGGCTGTAACCCACCTGTATTAGATCCCAGCCTTATCTGTACTGTCAACTCATAACATGAAACATAACCGTTTTACTAAACTGAACTATTGAATGAAATTAAGAGATTGGCCAAAGAGTATAGAGCTGTATACAGTAGTTATATTTACTCTGAAGCCTTAAGAATCAACAAATGTCACCTGTTGGCTACATTGGAAAAATTTGTGCAGTATTAAATATTATCTACTGTGTCTATATAGATACCTCAGGAATAGTTAAAACCTAAAATGAGAATTTCCCGGTAAATGGTGTAATTATAACAATGCATCTGTGCCTAATCTGTATACTCTGCAGAGTCTGTCACCAGGGGAAGCCAAATGGCCCACTTGCCTGGACTTAAGAGATGCCTTTTTCAGTATAAGGCTGGCTCCAGGAAGCCAGAGTCTGTTTGCTTTCCAGTGGGAGAGATCAGACATGGAAAGTGCAATCTAGTACATATGGACCAGATTGCCATAGGAGTTCAAAATACCCACGGTTTTTGGAGAAGCAGTGGGTCATGACTTCCAGAAATTCCCAGCTGAGGAATTAGAATGTGTGCTGCTCCAATATGTTGATGACCTCCTCCTAGGACACCCTATCCTGGAGGGCTGTGTTCAAGGTACAGACTGCCTACTGAGACATCTAGAGGTATGTGGCTATAAAGTGTCTAAGTGGAAAGCCCAGATTTGCCAGGGGTGAGTACGTTATCTAGGAGGAAGAGAGGAGTCTAGGTGTGGAAAGGAGGCAAGTCATTAGTTGCCTCCCCACCCCCACAAGCCAAAGCAAGTTCTGGAATTCCTAGGCCAGTCAGCTTCTGTCGTCTTTAGATCCCCAACTTTGCCATCTTGGCTAAACCTCTGTATGAGGCAACTAAAGGAGAGGAAGGAAAGCCCTTAGAGTGGAGAAGAGGACAGGAATGTGCCTGCTTCGAGCTAAAGATAAGGCTAATGCCTGCTCCTTTACTGGGACTGCCAGACCTGACCAAGCCCTTTACTCTGTATGTCTCAGAGAGAGATAAGATGGCTATGGGAGTGTTAACCCAGTTGGTTGGGTCCTTGCCAAGGCCTGTAGCCTACCTCTCTAAGCAGCTGGATGGAGTAGCAAAAGAATGGCTACCCTGCTTATGGGCTCTAGTAGCGACTGCTCTCCTTGTGCAAGAAACTGACTCTAGGGCAGGATCTCAGAGTGAAAGTACCCCACTCTGTGGTCACTTTGATAAACACAAAGGGACATTTCTGGCTTTCCAATGCAAGGATAACTAAGTACCAAAGCTTAATGTGTGGTAATCCGCGCATCATAGTGGAAGTATGTAACACCTTAAACCCAGCCACGCTCCTTCCAGCCAGAGGAAGAGAAACTGAGCATGATTGTGGAAGTTATAGACAATGTGTATTCTAGCAGATTTGACTTGCGTGACCAGCCTTGGACAGATGCAGACTGGGACTTGTATGTTGATGGAAGCAGTTATGTGACAACGCAAGCAGAGTGAAGCCTGCCGTGGAACCAAAGGAGGGATCTCCCCCACGTAAGAGGAGCTGTGCTGAGCAGGATGTGGCAGCAACCACACTGTGAGTTCCCACAGTATGGACTTCACAACTCCTGGACCTTGGGAAGCCACCTCAGATTCTGACAACCCCTTCAAACTAGTGTTGTGGAGAACGGCAAGCCCTGCTTCAGTCACACCCGGAAGCTAACTGGTCCACGCACGGCTGAAGCATGAGGATCTATGTCACTGTGGGACTGTTCTTTATTGGACTCATGAGAGCTAAGTGGACTTTAGTTTGTGCAAATTTTTTTTTTTTT